GCTTTTAAGCAGTTACCCTAACCCTGATAGAAACCACAGGTGGTGCTATTGATATAGCCAAGTAAAGTCAAATAAAAATGGAACACCACATTCACATTTTCTGTTAACACTTAAGCAAGTTAAAAACAGCAGAAACTGGAAGTGAATGGAAAAGATATTGACTTTCTATGGTAATTGTGTTTGCACTTCCTTTTGCCTTTTCATGATGAAGTAGCCATAGAATGTTGTTTTTCTTTTCCTGAAGAGAAAGGAAATCACATTACCTTATCAAAAAATGCAGCCAGCTAAAACCCTTCCCTTCCATTCATTTAAATCCCTTTTAGAAAATATAAATGCAGTTATGCAAACCACTCTGAAGTCACTAATCATTACTGGAATCAAGACACATATATAACATATTTAGCAAGTTGGACTAGATGATCCCTATGGGTCCCTTCCAACTTTAGGTATTCTATGATACACACACACATACACACACAAAAACAACATACACATACATTGTTTCTGTATCAAACTACAGCTAAAAAAGATCATTTATAAACTGTTCTTTTTTGGGAAAAGCTCAACACCTAACTTTATTATCTAGCATAACCATTCAAGGAGTTTCCATTCAGGATGTAAATCCTCTGTTGCTGGTAAGGGTTAATAACAGTGAATCTGACCACAAAGTTTACCTGAAGTCTCCATTACTATAAGCACTTGTCCAAATAATTAGTCTGCTCAAAAATAAGAAAAAATACGTACTGAGCCAAGAAACAGGAAGGGGTCAGTATGGCAGGGGAATACAGATCCTGAAGAGTCACATAGCCACTGAGAAAGATGGACAATAAACCTTATTAAAAAACCACTTTATGTCCATTGAAAAGCAAGGATTCAGCTTCCCTTAACATGGCACATGTGAGGAGAGAGAGGAGAAGAAAGTACAACAGGATATAATGAAATTAAACTGAGATTTGAGAGTTAACTGGCAGAAATGTATATCTATATTCACTGATAGACTCTGGAAACCATAGTATAGTCTACATAATAAATTTTTTTTTTTTTTCCCAGCTGCTTCAAGATCTAACTAGTCACCCCAGCTGAGGCCATGGGGAAGGCTTACAGGAGTGCCAACATCTGCTTCTATTCCCATCAATGTCAAATTTGTCAGAACATGAAACTGCACTAGAAAAACAATCCCTGTCATAGAAAAATAAACTCTACTTCCTTGAATATCCCCTGAAGTACCAAGTGTAGCAGATTTATTACATTTCCAATTTCTATTACAAAATAAAGTTTCTTTCAAAAAAACATACATGCACATTTAAAACTATATATACATATAAATATATATATATATTTATCCAGTGTTGTGTACATGCATCCTAAAATTCTTCATAACCTGGTTTGCCTTTACTGGTCAGTCCATCAGTGCAAATCACAACCATAAAAATTAAGCTTTAGACCAAGTAACAAGGTGACAAATTAAACTAGCCACTTTTTGGCAACTCTTTACTATTAAATACTTTTTAATTTCTCAGTAACTTCAACCTATGGTTTTACTGGTCTCTTTACTACTGCTGTGTTGAGGTTTCACGTGAATACCCTAACTTACAAAGTAAATGAAACCTCACATGAAAACATTACACAAATTTAGGAAAAAAAAATAAAAAAGATTTTTTAAGACTTTCTTCTTCTTTTCTTTTTCATTCTTTTTAAGACTTTTTAAGAATATTTTTTTAAGCCTTTCATTAAAAGTCACATAAATTTTCCTGCATAAAATTGTGGACCAATGAGACTCTTGGAAAAGTTTATGTAGTTTTGCTCTAGTTAGCTAGTCATAGAATAGAATGATTAAGGTTGGAAAAGACCTGCAAGATCATCAAGTCCAACCGGTAGCCCAGCACCGCTACATTCACCAATAAACCATGTCCCCAGCTGCCTCATCTACACATTTTTTGAACACTTCTAGCGATGGCAATTCCTTCACATCCATGGGCAGCTTGTTCCAATAGCTGATCACCATTTTAATGAACAAATTTTTCATAATGTCCAATCTAAACCACCCCTAGTGCAACTTGAGGCCATTTCATTTTGTCTTGTCAATTGTTACCTGGGAAAAGAGATTAATCCCCACCTTGCTACAACTTCCTTTCAGATAGTTGTAGAGAGCAATAAAGTTTCCCCTCAGTCTCCTTTTCTCCAGGCTAATTACGCTTATAGAACAAAATATGAAATTTTCATTATGTTTACACAGAGCACAGTAAATATACACACTCTGTAAAGAATGAAATAGACAAGGTACATATTATTAAAGTCAGAATTTTTTTAAAAAGTATCTTTACCATAAACACTCAAGGTAATATTAGTTATTGAGTTAACAGTTGGATAACAGAGAATTATTTTAGATAAATATTCACCAGTTGCCATTTTTAGTTCCCTCCAGAAAGAGGATTTTGCTAAAAAAAAAAGGATTCTCCTCTACGCTTGCAAGTACAGCTTCTCTTTCATTGGAAAACAAAGATTTTGCCAGAGGAAGATGGTATGATCACCAGCAAGATCACCCAGAAGCAGAAAAAAGCCCAATTGCTAATTTAGCCAGTAAAGTACCAATCCTTCATAACAGAAATTTCGTATCTTAGCTTATAAAAAAACCCCATCCATCTATAGATACAGTTTTCAAAGACGTTTTAGTGTCTTATGGAAATTCTTCCATCACCCGATTTGCTTCTTTTAAGAAATGCTTAATGCTAACAAGAACAAAATCTCTAGTATTGCAACGACACTCCAAATTTTATAAGAAATGTCTGAAGGAAAAGCATAAGCCTTTTCTTCCTAATTTCCTGTGCATGCCTCCTCCTTCCAACAGTGCTGCAACTACTTGGCAACTTAAGTTTATCCACCTCACATATGTTTACATACCTCACTCAAACGGGCCCAAAATTGTTATTGCTCAGTATCACTGATGTCTCAACAGACTATGCTACTAAAGTTTATTACTGGAAGATTCAGGAGATACGAAAGAATAATATTAATACAACCAGACCTTTCCACTCAGATTTGTTTTGTGATGACTGCAGATGTAAAACAATATACTGTATTTGCACAGCATAAAGCCAAAAAGAAGAGGTGAATGAACTCATGTGGAAATGACTACTCTGCTACTTCTATCTAATAAAATAATGAATATATCAAATCTTCTGCTTTGTACCTAGAGTTGTAAACTTTTGACAGAATATACAAACCAAGCTGCTCCTCTTACACTGATGATAAGTAAAGGATGAAAAATCAGAGGAGTATGGAGAAAAAAAAACTTTAAATAACCAACCAGAAATTTGTTCTCAGCAAGACTTTATTTCCAATATAAACTGAAGAACCTAAATAAATGTAACATATAATAGATATGTTTCCATTGTATGGAAACCAGCAAAGCATTTCCCATGTTGACAAAGATGAGTAAAGTCACTTCCTCCTTATAACCTCTTCATTCTCCAGCCATCCACAGGGTTTATTTCATTCATCTAAGCGAATATCCTATTTCCTATTAACTACAGTTAATTAACTGCAGGTACTTTGTGCAAACTGTTAGGGAGACTGTAACTCGCTTCAGCTTCTCAATCATAAAGGAAACATGGGTTCTACAACAATGAGCTCCACTGAGGATGCTGAGGTGAGCTGGAAGCCTAACTCTTAACTCTGACTGGAATGTCAACCCCTCATGTTGCTCTCTACTTTAACAGGACATCACAGAAAAGAGGAAAAGAGGATAACGTTTGGACAGAGAAATACTCAGTGCTGGGACCTCACACTGGTGGTGGGGGTCACTTCAGACTAGCTCTAGTCTAACCCCAGGAACTGCACATTCATTAGCAGCCAGATATGCTCCTACAGAAAAGCTTCAAAGACAATCACACAAGCCTCTTTCTCAAACATACATCCTAAACTTAAAAAAAAAAAAAAAAAAAAAAAAAAAAAAAAAAAAAAAAAACATGTTGGACCACTTACTATTTTTCATGGTTCTGCTGAGGACAAACATATGGAGAAAATAAGCTACTCTGTAGATCTTATTTCACCCCAATCTCTGTGCTTTTACTCTCCCTGTCACAGCCAACTTGAGAATTTCCTCTTTCATGATAATACGCAGAAAGTTCACAGTTCTCAAGGCAGCAAAGCAGGAAGTTTGCAGTTGGAAGGATTTCCCCTCTTCAATGGGACAGGGGAGGAGAGAAAAGTATGATGGGGCTACTGTTAAATCTTTTGCCAGCTGAAGCAGCTGATTTGGACATACTTATCACAACATCACTTTAGAGTCCTAAAGTGATGCTACCGAGACCAGGCACAAATTAAACACTGCCCGCATCTGTTTTGCAAAAATTTGTCACTTTGGCTTTTTGAGAGAGTGGGAACTCCTGCCTTTCCGACTAGGGCATCGATAATCCTATCAACAGTGATAGTCAAATGTAGAAGGAGGCTAAAACTGCCTCAACGCAGCTCACCAGAACGTGCTACCTTCGCAGCTGACCCTGTATCACAAGACAGGAGTGAACGCCACATGTGGCTTTAATGCCAAGCAGCTGCTGCACACCAGCACTCCCCCTGTCCTCCTCCTCCTTCCCCCCTGCACCGCTGGGTTTCTAGGACTATCGCAAGGAAAGCAATCGCGGCGCCTTAAAATGAACGCAAGCCCCCACCCCAGCTGTGGCAGAGCTAAACCCAAACGCATCAGACCCCCTTCCCTTCCATGCCCGGAGAAGGGAGATCATCGGTGCCAAAGTGCGGCTGGGGGGGTAGGGAGTGGGCAACGCACGACCCCCCTCCCCCGGCCATTTCAAAACCTGTTACTCTCCTTCCCTTTGAAGCAAAAGCCCAGGGTAAGACCCCCTCCCCGCTGCGAGTGCCGCCGTCCCGCTGCCCGCCGCGCCGGGCACCGCCTTCCCGGCTTCCCGGGCAGCTGAGGGAGCGGGAGCGGGCGCGGGCGGCTGAGGAGAGCCCCCCCCACCCCTCCCAAGCCCTCCGCTCACCGACACCAGGAACTCCAGCGTGCCCACGTAGTCCCGCTCGGTCTTGAGCAGCTCGTTGAGGACGCACACGCGTAAACGAAGCTGCTTCTCCAAGTCCTTCCCGCTTTCCCCCTTGCCTTCCCCTTTGCTTTCCTCTGTCATGGTGCAGCGCGGAGGGTCGGCGTTCCTAGCCCGGCGCCGTTCCCGGAGCGCCCCGGCGCTGCGCTGCGCTGCGGGCGAGGACAACAAAAGACCCCGCCAAGGAACCCGGCGGGGCCGGGCTCGGCCGGTCCCAGCCGCGCTGCAACCGCAGCCCCAGCCCCAGCCCCAGCCCACCCCGCTCCCGCGGCCGCCCGAGGTCCGCAGGCGAGCAGCCGCCCCAGTGCGCGCTCCTTTCCCGTCAGGAAGGGAACACAGCCTGAAGGAAACGAGCGGTCACTGGTTCCCAGCTCGCCCTGCTAGCTGAGAGGTTGGAAAGCCTCCGCAGCAGCAGACTTGGACATTAATCAAAAGCTTTGTATCCATGTGACTCCAGCCCCTTCCCCCCCCTTCGCTAAATCTCAGGAAAAAGGAAAGGAAACAACTTCAGGGAGCATTGCGTGCCAGCAGCTGCCTGTTTCACACACAAGCTGCGAGCTCCAGTTTGAGGCTAATTGGAGTTCTCCAACAACAGTAAAAGAATTATAAAAATGTCCCAAGCAAGCTGGCTGGCCAGGGAATCAGCAGTTGTTGTTGTTTTGTTTTAATCATCAGCGAAGAGCCATTTCAACTTTCCTTTCCACACCTTCCCACGAGATGTATATTACACTGTATATTGCAACTGATGCATGTTATAAATACGAGCTTTTATATTCTGAAAAAATATGCAGAGCTAAGGATGCGCTGAGCAGGTACAGAAAAGTTATTTCAAGGTTGGGGGGAGGAGGGGGGGGTGTTAGGTTGTCTGGTTTGTTTGTTTGTTTGTTTGTTTATTAAAACAAAGTGCTGTAAAATCCCTAGATTATACAGCTTTCCTGTCTGCTTTCAAAGTTCAAATTCGCATGATACATTAAAAGAATAAGAAATAATTCAGTAGCTATTTTCAAACAGTTAGCAAAAGGTTTAGAGCTACTTTAGACAAGGGGAACTGATTTCCTGAAGACTGCAATATGTCAGGACACTTCCATGTGAATTTTAAGCCCACTGATGAAAGCTGCAGGTTTTTTTGGCTAGCTCTTCAGTCTATGACTGGAAAGAAAATCCAGGTCTTCAACTTCTTTTGCTTAAAAGGGAAGGAGAGTAACAGGTCTTTAAATGGCCGGGGCGGGGGTCTGTATCATCTATCTTTCTAAACCTGCAACATCCTAAAAGGACAGCATAAAATGAAAACCTGAGTGTAAAACTCTTCTACAGCTGCAATATGAGTCCTTTAGAGGGAGAGCATAAGCAATGACATTTGTGTTCTGATAATTAGACATCATCTAGCTGTCTGCCCCAGACATCTTTTGGGAAACAGAGGATACGCTTTCCAGAAGATATTTCCCAAAGAGCAGAAAAAAAAATTAAAAAAAAAAAAAAATTCTTTGCATGTGACCTACTTATCTGCATCCTCTCCTTCCCAAACACAGTCAGCTCACTTGCATAAAATTCTAGGCAAGAAGCAGCAATTGCTGGAACCAATTCTGCTATGTATCCTTCTCAGCAATTTATGCATATGCAGATTAGCCTTCAAAGTTGCCTACTGACCTCAGCATAGCTCATTTCTCAATATGGCATTAGTACATTTCAAAAACAGACACCAATTTTTGTGAAAATCAGAACTTTATGTTTTTAAAGACCTCTCTGCCCTGCTAAATCTGGCTCAAATGAACTAGTGGGTTGAAAAAGCCAACACAACTCAATATTGAAGCCTCTTTCTTTAGAAAACCTATCTAAAATAGACAACATATCTATCTGGTGATAAACTCGAAACTTTTTTACCTTCTCAGTGGGCTTTGTCAGTGAAGCTCTGTCCCAAAATCCCAAGGTTCTGTGATATCTGCCCTAATCCTACGGAGGAGATTAGGTGCTTCACAATTGCTTGCATTAGCACCGAGAAGGCTGATGCTATGTTGGAATGACAAAAAAAAAGAGTGACCCACTGAAACCATGATGAAGTTTTCTCAAGGGATAACCAGAAAAAGGATCCAAAACCACTGGAATAGGACACCACACTATTACTTTCCTGCTCCCAAACACATGTGGGTGACCTTCTTCAGATAGTCATAGTCAGATGCCTCAGACTTGGTAAATTTCATGTCAGGAAGCACCCCATCTTTCATTTAGGAAAGCGGGAATAAGGGTCTCCTACATTTTTCACTTCAGAGATTCCTCTCTGCTTCTGACATGTGCCATTAGTTGTCACAAGCCGCATGCACACTCATTGACTGCGATGACAGCTAAAAGAGGCAGGAGCAGCAGCTTACTGTCTTTCTTTCCATCATCTATAGAAGTAAGTATCCCTTCCCTTCACATGTTTGTACCTCATTGCCAGGAGACCTTAAAGCCAAAGTGATCCTTGTCCCACTTTACACTCCTGCTGCCCTCACACAACGCTCCTTCCTTCAGGCAGGCAGCAAAATACAGGCCAGCAAAAGCATTAATGACAGCACAGAAGAGATTTTTATGACTCACCTAAGGCCTCTGAACCCAGCAAAGCCCACAGCAGATGTGCAATGATAGGAAAAGTAATTCTAAATACTAGCCACCAATATGGAAAACATACGTGCCTACAGGCTCAGCCAATTTTCCTGACAACCTGCTTGAAGTAATAAAGACATGGGCAAATTACTCTTTTCCCCTAGTTTCAGGAAAAAGCTGAATTGCTCCAATTGTAGTTTTCACTACACCAAAACTGGGTAAAAAAGAATAAAGTTGGAAGAAAGGTAGAATATGCAGATGGGATGAAAAAATTCAGCCTGAACAAAATGTCTTAAGCAACTAAACAGCAGATTTTACACTGTGATTAAACACTGATCTTGAGTAGTAGGTAGCAACACCTGTCTTAAATACAGAAACAAGTTATATAAAACAGTATATTGATTATGCTAGCATGTGGGAAACAGCAATTCCTGCTCCCTATGTGGAAAGACACATTTGGAGAAACTGGAGAAATCAGATTGTTCCCATGGAATAACTTTGGAATGCAACAAGAACTATTTTGGTCCAAGGGTACTTGAGGCCCAAGTTTAATTTCTATTTAGAGTCCTGTTGAAAAAATATGGCAGCACACAACTTTTGATCTATTCACGAAACTACATAGGACAGGTTGTCTAGCCAGGTTTTGAGTTACTCCACAGATAAAACTCTTCAGCCTCTCTGGGGAACCTGTGCCAGTGTCTGGCCAGTGTTCTGCAGTAAAAATAAATAAATCAATAAAGTCTTCTCTTGTATTCAGTCAGAATTTCATGGTTTTTAATGTATGCCCATTGCCTCTAGTCCTGTCAGCTGGCACTGCTGAGAAAAGTTGAGTACCCTCTTTGTCATTTTCTCCCATCAAGCCTTTAGAAACTTGGATAAGATTGCCCATGAACCCTCCCCCTTGCAGGCTGAACAGTTTTTAAGATGAGACTGGATGTGGACTTAGTGCCATGGTCTAGTAACCACGACAGTGTTGTATCAAGGGTTGGACTTGATGATCTCGGAGGTCTTTTCCAACCCAGCTGATTCTATGATTCTGTGATCTCCCTCAGTCTCTACACATATGTAAAATCATCCATTCCCTTAATCATCTTTGTGGTCCTATCTGATGACCTGGAACAAATTTCTGGGTATTAAATACCATATACATGACAGATGATAGCAATTAAAGTTCTGTGATCTGCCATGACACTTATTTACTCTATGGGAAAACCACATGAATTTGTTTCTGAATTGCTACTGAATAATGGTTATCAGTGTAAGAAAGACAGCTCCAGTATCACACAAGAATGAAATCAAGTGTTCTGCAGGGCACATTACCTTGTATCAGAGCACTGTAAAGGACTCCTCAGTCCAGCTGGGAATTTAATGTTGTCTTCTTTTCAGACAGAGCTGAAGTACATTTCTGATATTGAAAAAAAAAAAAAAAAAAAGGACAAAAACTCCATAGGAATTATTAAGAGACCCATCCAAGAAATGTGATTAACAAACACTAAAAAAGTTCACCACAATAAAAACAGTTTCTTTACAGGTGGCTCTAATACCATACTGAGCAATAAGGTTAATATGCATGGGACTAGGTGTAAATGAAACAAGTGTTGGAGGGTAAGTAAATTGCAAAGTTCACTTCTGACACATTACCGTCTATTCGTTCACCACAAAGTTTACAGCAAACCAACTTTGCAGCCACAGGTTTTAAACAGAAGTCAGTATTTGTAGGAATGAACAAAAATAGTCAGTTCTGTAATCTTCCTTTTTGGCATTTTTGAAGAATGATGGCGGTACTTTAACCACAAAGACATTTAAATGTCCTCAAGCACTGTAAGTTATAATCATTATCATGATATAATCATCAACATAATGATTGGGTTCTTATAATCAAAAGACTTCTATAGGTATTTTGAATATAAGCTGGTCTCCCGCAAACCAGACTTTTTTAACCCCAAACTGCTACAGCATTACTCTCTGAGTATAAATGCATAGGACTTCACCACACACTTCTTCCACAAGCCTCTTATGATGGTGTGTATCTATCTACAAGGCTTTTAATAATTTTATTCCCACCAGCACAAGGGACACAGCAAACATCTGTAGCAAACAAAATCTTAACATTCAGCTTTACTTAGCATGAAAAGAACTACTGCATGATTCAAATCTGATTTATAAAAAAAAAAAATCTAAAAGGATACAGAGAGATTATAACTCCTTAGAAAAGGGATTATTTACAATTCATTTAAAGAAATGTATTTGGCTTTACCTATAGGGGTCGATTTTACCTTTAAGAAAGCCTGCAGCAAAAGACACCTAAGTCTTAGAATGACAAGTGCTCCCTACAGATGTTTTTTCTTTGGAAGGCTATCTAGTATGAGCCATCACACCTCCAGAATCTCAAGACAGGAGTGCAGTTAGTTCAAGTATCTGTTGACTTTAAATTAGCATTAAAACAACGTGTACTAACGCAAGTGCACGGCAAAATCTCCTCAGGAACCTCTAATTAGTTCAGCAACAAACTGATGGTCCCATGAAGCCAGCATTACAAAGTAAAAATAGTCTCCAGAAGGCTCCATACCAGCTTAGTATACCCTGATGAAAGCTATTTAAACTAAAACTTCACCTTATGTAGTATCTAAGCAGAAGAACAGAAGAAATTACTCCACCTCAATTTGAGGACATCTGATTACAGCTTCTTCACACTAGCTATTTAGCAACCTTTTTAAAAGCTGATAGGAAATCGAAACAAAATTAATTAAAAACC